CAATTATAAACTATCAGCATGACATCATGGACTTCCCTGGTGGCCCAGTGGTTAGGACTCTGCCCTTCCACTGCAGGGGGCACAGGTTGATCCCTGGTTGGGGAACTAGGATCCTGCCTACTACACAGTGAGGCCCAAAAAAAAAAAAAAAAAAAAAACATGAAGTCAGTGAATGAGGATTTGGAAGAGATGCACACAGTGATTCTCTGGGGCTGGCGCGAGCCTGCTCTGGCACCAGTGCCATACTTCCAGAGGTGGCCCGTCCCTGGCTGGGCCTCCCCTCCACTTCCGGGCAGTGTCTCCGCGGCACCAGAGCCCTAGCAGTGGAGGCCGTGGGGACAGCTTCTCCTGCTGAGCTAACTCCAGGTGCGGGAGAAACTGGGGGTGGAAGCACATCTGAACACACCCTCTGGAGCCAGCCTTCCTCAGCCTGGTTTTCTCACCCCGCAGGGACCTGCGGGCTGCTACTAGCACCAGTGGATCTCTGTCACCTGACAACAGTAGGGACCGGTTCGGAGCTGCCCCGCCGGTAGGTGGGAGTCCTTCTGTTCTGTTTGGAAACCAGGGATCCTTCGGGGTGGGTGCTGGGGCCTCATCACGCAGAAGGTGGCCAGTGGATGTAGCAGCAGCTACGGCCAGCACCCAGCGCTCTGTGGGTCCTCCCAGGGGACGGAGCAGGCAGGACAGGGTGTGGACGGTGTGGCCTGGAAGGTGGTCTCACACCACTCTCAGATGGCAGCCACCTGCTCAGACCTCTCCCCAGGACGCCCTGGGAGTCCCTGGGGGAGCCCCCAGTCACAGTCAGAGCTGCTGCTCAGGGGAGGGCGGGACATCGAGGTGGGGACCAGAAACCACCCAGCGGCATCCCCAGAAACTGCAGGCACTGTTCTTGGGGAGCCATGGGGGAGTCTGAGAGATGGGTTGGGGGCAGAGCAGAGTTTAGTTAAGAAGCCCTGCCCCCCCACCGTGGGACATGCAGTCTGGGCTGAGGGTGGGGAAGGGCAGTGTGTGTCGGTAGCACTTGGTTAGCCTGTGCTCCCTCATCTGTCCCCTCACACCTCGGTGGAGTCACCCAGAGGCCAGGTCGCCATCTGCAGCCCCAGACTGGCCCGCTAGCCGGGTCAGGAGTGGGCACGCGTGCGGCTTGGTTGGGGTGGCCTCCAGCCAGCCACAAAGGCCCCACAATGTGCCGTGTCCAGAGAGGCAGAGTGGCCGGGAACCACCGCTGGCCGTGGGACCTGGGTGTGTCCCTTTAGGTCCCTGTGCTTCAGATTCCCTGGGAGGGGCTGACGTGTCAGAGCAGGTCCAAGGAAGAAGCCAGGTGGGGTGGGCACACGGCAGGTGGTCAGGGAACAGGCTCCTAGGCAGGATGACATCATGGCCTCTCCACTCTGCGGGCTCCGTGGGGATGGATGAGGCAACGGGGGCAGCCCTGGGTGGTCCCGGGGGGCAGAAGCCACAGGGAAGCTGCTTACAGACACCCTACGGAAAGGTGTCGGTTATAGGTTGAATTGTGTCCCCCTGAAAAGAAGTTGAAGCCCTAATCCCCCAGTATCTGTGAATGTGACCTGATTTGGAAATAGGATGACTAAGTGAGATCTTTAAGGTGGATCCTTATCCGACTTGTTCTTATGAAAAAGGGAAGGTTGAACACAGACATGCACACAGGGAGAAGGGCCACGTCAGGTGGAGCAGAGATGGGGTGATGAGTCCACAGAAGCCAGAGACAGATTCTGTCCCACAGCCTCAGAAGGAAGCAGCCTTGCTGCTACCCCTTGATCTCGGACCTCCAGTCTCCAAACTCCCTGCCTTCGTGAAGTGGCCAAAACCACATGAAGGTGACTCGTAGTAGGTTATGAAAGTCTCAGGAATCAGAGCAGGGAAGGAGAGAAAACGCCAGGTCTTGTTGAGGGAGCCTGGGGACAGCCGCACTGGGAGGGGACTGTGGTCATGTCCCCAAGCAAGTGAGGGAGACAGCTGGGGAGGAGCAGGTGGGTGAGGACACAGCACGTGCAAAGGCCCTGTGGTGGGAGCAGATCCAGTGGGTTCCAAGTAGCACCCGGAGGCCACGTGGCTGGAACAGAGCCATGAAAGTGGAGCAGAGCAGGAAGGGAAGCTGAAGGGGTCAGAGGAGGCAGGTCCTGTGGCCTTGGGCACTTCAGCTTCTGCTGAGCAAGGAGGGGTAGCAGGGGTTTATTAGAGGTGCCGTCACACTGGCTGCCGGGAGGGGAAGGTGACCATGCGGTAATCCAGGGGAAAGGATGGCTGAGACCCAGGTGGTGGTGTGGGTGGTGAGACATGGGCACATCCTGCTAATATTCTGAGGGCACAGCTGACAGATGGCCAGTGGCCAGCCCACATCTTAGGAAGGCTGAATCCCCCCAGGATGGGGTAGGTGAGGGAGGGGTTGGCCTGGTGGAGACCGAGCCGCTTGAGATGTCTGCTGACATCAGTGGGGCTGGCCGTGGGCAGCTCAAGTCCACGGCAGAGGTCAGGGCTGGAGATGAAGACCGGGGAGCCACTGGCACAGGGACAGAAAGCCAGGAGGCTGGACAAGGCCAGTGAGAATTCAGGACTGGAGGGAGCACAGACCCAGGGTCCACAGCGTTCAGTGATCAGGCAGAAAAGCTGGAGCAGTCCGATTCTGTTACCTGGGCCAGGGGGGGACAGGACCCCCACTGGGGGCTCCAGGGGGGCAGTCACTTTGTATCCAGTCCCATTCTCTGGCCACAGCTGGTCCAGCGGTGGGCTCCTCTCCCAGCTGGGCCAACCAGAGGCATCTGCACAATGTCTGGAGCAAGGATGCAGGGGGTCCGGCTTCCCAGTTGGGCTGTTCCCAGTTTGGCTAAGCCCCAGGGCGGTTGTGGGAGCTTGGTACTGCCCGGGAGGCAGAGAAAGCGGTCACATTGATGCTGAGAGGGGGCAGTGTGGACACGGCCCCTGGGCTCCACACAATACCTGGCTTGGGTTCTGGTACTTGCAACCATCAATCCTGGCCCTAACAGGTGCGCCTGCACCTCCCGGGGCTGGAGGATCTGTACGTGGAGGGCGCTCCAGAGCTCTCTCCTCTCTCCCTCCCTCCCTCCCTTGGGGTGGGGACCTGATCAAGAGGCAGGACCCTGATTTTCAACCTCTCCAACTCCCACCTCCCTGCCCCGTGTGCTCCCAGAGGCCTCTCTGTTGAAGGCAGGGAAACAAACCACAGGGCTTTGAAATCATCCATCGAGTTTAATGCATCGCACAGAAGGAAAACTACAGCGGCATATTTAAGACAAACACTTTTTCTCTAGTTCCACTATCCATCGGACGGTCCTCCTTGGTCCAAAAAAACTAAGTCTCAAGACACATTGGCAGCTACCCCTCCCGGGTCCAACCTTTCATATCTTCCCGTTACATTTTTAAAAAAATTTAATTCAATCCATCCAAGAAGAAAAACCAACCAACAAAAAAAGGAACCTGCAGACATTTACATCGCAAGCCACGCGGTAATGCATAATTGGCATCTAGAGTAACCAACATAGAAGACGTGTGTCTTACGGTTCACTTTGTCCATCAATAAAAGAATATAAAAATCTTGTTCAACCCAGTGTTAAGTGTATTAAAATAGATCTGTATCGTACAGCACAGTTTCTCCCGGAGTCGTGAAAATGACAGGAGGGACCATGGCAGTCTGTGGGATTCCGGCCAGCCTCCTTGCTCTGCACCTGGCAGCGTGCGTGCATGCGTGTCTGGGGCCACGTGTGCACACGCACACATGTGTTCAATGCAATTCGGCACCGTGTGATGTGCTGGGGGTGGGAGTCCTGTGGCTCCCAGATGCTCATTCTGTTGTGCTAAGTCCCTTGGGACTGGAGAAGCCAGTGGGCGTGACAAGCCCGCACGGCCCATCCCGGATGCAGGGCGGCGGGCACCCTTCGCTCTCGTGGAGACGGCAAGAGGGACCCTTCAGTCTCCCGAGGCCACTGCCTTCTCTTCCTCCCCCTCCCCCCACTTCTTAAAAAACCCTCTGGGTCCCTCCAGTTTGGCAGCTCCCCCGCCAGAGGGGTTTTCCGTTCATCCCGGGCAGCAGAGACACTGTGAACAGGAAAAGAAGTCACCAAGTGTCCCCTTCACATTAAATATCTCACAATAAAAACGCCATACAAAAATGTAAAGTTACTTTTTGGCATAGTGTCTGTACTGGCAAGAAAAGAGGAATGGAATACTTTATCGGCTCTTCAAAAGGAGGAAAGAAAAGGCTTCAGTCGTTAAGTTGAACGATTCAACCCAAAATAGAAAACCCGCCAAACGCCTCCCTGGTGTGGCTGCAGCTCCATCTCTCGCCCAGAAACTCTATGAGAAAAAGACATCGAGGGCAAGATGAGTCCAAAAAGTCAGCGGAGGAGGGAGGCGCACGGCGAGGGCGCCCCCAAGACCAGGGGGCAGACGGAGGCCTGGCTGGGCCACAGCAGCGTCCCCTGGGGAGCTTCCTTCAAGTTAAACAGCTGCGATTCTGAACGCTAATAACACTGACAACGGATGGGCGTTCTGGAAGGCCTGGCGTGAGCCCGACAGCCCCGTGAGGGCGGGCGGCTGAGTCTACCTAGATTTGCTACCCGCCTCTCGCCCCAACTAGCGCTACTTGGCTACGTCGTGTCCTCAGCTCCCCTCCCGCAGGGCACCTCGGCCCTTCTCTCTCCCGCGGGGGTGGCACGAGGCCCAGGAGAAAGCTGTGTCCAGAAGCCGGAGGCCCGGGCAGCCCCCCAACAGCAGGGAGCTGACTCTGTGCCCCGACCTGGCTTCCGGGCGTCCCATCTGCCCTGGAGGGCGCAGGACTCCATCCCCTCCCATCCTGGCTCTAGGACTCTCACTCAGCTGCTTTTCCCTTCTTTCCTGTCTCTGTCTGGTTTTATTTTTGTCTGAAATTCATAGTGTGTATGAATTAAGGCTGACAGAACCCTCAGGTCTTGCGAGCAGGGTCCCAGTGACTTTCCGTGGGTGTGAAGACAGGTCCCTTGGGGTCAGTTGTGCCCCGGGGGGTGCTGGAGGGCAGAGTGCATGGCCGCTGCTGAGGGCTTGGTCCAGGGCCCGGCCAGCAGCGGGGCGGGGCTGGTGGTCGTCATGGTGACCTGGAGCATCTGCTCGCCCTGTATCAGTCTCAGGAGGGCCCTCAGGCGGTCCAGGGACGACTGGGTGCCCCTCTGCTGGGCCAGCAGGCTCGTCTTAAGCTCCAGGCATTTCTGTCAGGGGGAGGGTGTCAGAGAGAAGGGTCTCAGAATTCAGTGGCACAAGCCACCTGGGGCAGCCACCCCTCAGCGCTTTCTCGGAAAGCCCCTCCCTTCCACTGCAGAGGCTGAAAGAAACCAGGAAGAGGGCCTCACGCACACCAGGCAGAAGCAAAAAATGGAATTAAACGGCAGCCAGACCCACAGGAGAAATTTGTTTAAGACATTCAGGGCTGGAAATGATGTGCTTGTGCGGGAATGTGGGAACGTTCTGCCTCGTGGTTGTGAGGCTGCCTAGCTGACCACATCTACCTCTGCTGCTGGAGGAAACTCCGAGCCTGTTTTGGCTCAAGTGCAGCCCCTGCAGGAGACCTTCAGACTGCCAGCCGGGTTTCTGCTCTTCCTCATGCCTGCTGTATTCACGGGTTTCTCTAGCCTTTTATATATCATAGCGACACAGTGACGTGGTTAAGGACTGACGCCTCGAGTTAGAGTTTTAATTATTTGCTGCCTGGGCAAATAAACTCCTTGAGTCTGAGTCCCAAACTCTAAGAATAATCACAGAGCCTCTTCATAGAGTTATGGAGAGGATTAAATGGGATACTACATTTAAAGGGTTTTACCAGTTGCTGTTACCAACATCACCACCATCATCAGCACCATCACCATCACCACCATCAGCACCATCACCTCCATCATCATCACCATCATCACCACCATCACCACCACCACCATCACCTCCATCATCACCATGACCTCTATCATCACCATCACCACCTCCATCATCCACCACCACCACCATCACCTCCATCACCACCACCACCACCATCATCACCATCACCACCATCATCATCACCACCATCACCTCCATCATCGTCATCATCGCCATCATCACCACCACCATTATCATCATCTTGTTTATCACCACTCTACAGAGAAGAAATCACTGTGTTCACTTTATACAAGAAGAAACTGAGGTTCAGAGATGGTCAGGGCCTTGCTGAGGTCACAGAGCTGAGAAGGAACAGAGCCAGATGCTCAACTGCTCGATAACTATTTGTCGAATGAGTCACACAGCTGCCTTCTCCACCTGCTGACTCGCTAAGTGACGGTGGTGAGTCTGTCTTCTCCTGGGGCCTCAGTAAGCAGACAGCGACGCTTTGGCTCTACACCCTGTGGTTCTAAGGGCAGACGCCGCACCCCCGCCCCGCGCACCTTCACTGCCGAGGCCAGGAGCCGGTCCCGCTCCTGCAGCTGCCGGCGCTCGCTCTGCAGCTCGCTGCCTCTCTGCAGCAGCTTCCGCTTCTCCTCTTCTTTGACTGTGAAAGAGAAGACCAGGCCGCACAGGGAACTGCAGACAAGCAGGGGCTGGGCCGTGGCTGAGCAGGAGAGGTAGAAAGAATCCTAGGCCCGTGCCTATAGGTCATCCTGGCCACATCCTCCTGCAGGGGCCGGTGGCTCTCGCTGGATGCACGGGGACTGGAATTCCATCCCCGCAGTAACTGCCCTGCACAAAGGACTAGTCCCAGGGGTCTTTGGCCCAGAACAGCCTCTGCTGGGCCCAAAGTGAGTCCAGCGGTCTAGGGGCGGGGTTGGACAAAAGGGAATGGGTGCCCTTTCCCAGCTCCCGAGGGTGTCTTTCTTACCTGTCTTGTGGGTGACGTAGGAGTGCACAATAGCCAGCATCCCGGTCCAGGGCACACCTTCGTCTTTCTTTAAGGCCTGGAGGGCAGATGGGGAACTGAGCCAGCGGACAGCCTGGGGGCCCGCCACGCCCTGGGTTACTGGCTGTGTAAGCCGGGCTGGCAGCGGCGCGTGGGGGGTGGGGG